AAGGTGGGAATTACCCAATTCCTAAGGTAGAATCAGTTTCGATCTTAAATTTGGTTCTTAGTAATTGAAGCCTCAGTTTGTGATGTTGTGGGTTTGGGGTTATAGGTGTCGAATGGAATAGTTCCTTAAATTAGGGTTGGAGCCCCTCCCTGCGAGGGTTACACAAGGTGGGTGGTGTGATCTTTCACAGGGTAGGGGCGGTATTGGAGGTTTGTCCTTTTCTGGGCCATGCTGATCCTTGGGTCCGATCAGCTATGGCGGTTGGGGAAAGAGGGCAGGGGGTGCTGATGTCAACAAGGTGAGAGTCGAGAGGGCTGCTCTGTTTGGAGGGGGTGTGGGGCAGGAAGGAAGGGGGATCTTCGGCTCTACGAGGCATACTTTAGGAGGTATGCGTTTGAGGGAGCAAGAGTGTATTTTCGGGGGCTGTTCTGAACTGGGGCGGGGAGGTGAGGGGACACCCTCCCGCGGAGGCAGTAAACAGACAGGGGGTTGTCCTTTTGAGGAGAGGAATAGTCCACTTGGTTCTTATGACCCCTCTATATGTAACTGAGATTTCAATAGGTGTTGGAGTTTCCACAGGAAGAGAGGGTAGTTCTTTTCCCCTCCTTCCCTCTTCCTGTGGAAATAGTTGGCGTTGAATGTTCATCTGAGTTGTTTGATTTTTTTTCCTTCTAATTGGACATTCTTCAATGGTTTGGTGCTGGGAGCAGGGGTTTGCGGTGGTTGCGATGGTGGGAGACGACGTGCCCTGCGGCGAAGGGCCTAGCCTGTAGGGTTGAAATGGGGTACAACAGTGGTGGAGATGGTGGCTTCATCCCCGTAAGAGTTGCCGAAGTAGGGCTGAGAGAGATTTTGTTGGGATATCTCAACCAGTGCCTGATCCGAGGTTTGGGGTTGTTTTTTTTGTGTAGATTGCACAATTGTCATCCTTAGCTTAAGCCGGGTAATGGCCCCGGTATTTCAAAGTTTTTTCCATAAATTTCTTCAAAAAGAAGGAAATTCTTCTAAGGCTTGGTGCTAGCCTGCAGGGTTGAAATAAGGTATAGCAGCAGTGGAGATGGTGGCTCCATTGCGATAAGACTTGCTGGAGGATGGATGATCGGAGCTACAGCCATGGTGCTGATTGGTGCTAGTGGCAGGGGGTTATGGTGGCTGTGATGGTGGGAAAGGACGCGCTCTGCGGCGAAGGGGCTAGCCTGCAGGGTTGAAATAGGGTATAGCAGCAGTGGAGATGGTGGCTCCATTGCGATAAGACTTGTCGGAGGATGGATGATCGGAGCTACAGCCATGGTGCTGATTGGTGGCTTGACTGGTATTTGCCATAGTCCCAGGGGTTTGTGAATAGACGAGGCCAGAACGACGCTGGTCGGTGCTGGGACTTGGTCGCGCTGCCCTGTAACTCGAGCTGTTCGAGGGCATTAGACCTGGTAGAGAGATCTAGGGAGTTGTCGTGGAGGAAGGCACTCTAGTGTCTGTTGGTGAGCTGGTGCCTAGTCGACGCTGACCGGAGTCGGGGCGGGTCGTGTTGCCCTGTGACCTAGCAGGTGGAGGTTTTCTGGGGTGGGTCGTGCCACTCCGTAGCCTAGCAGTTGGGGCCGTGAGGCTGGGTAGAGGTTGGGCATCGGGGTATAGGCGTGAGGGAGGTAGGGTTATTCGGTCTGAATTCTCCTGTGAGCCAAGGCTCGAAAAACAAAAGGGCCCCTTGAATTTAGTATTGCATAGATGCCTGTTTTTCCCATAAGCCCCTTCGAGGCTGTTTCATTAGTACTTGGAGCAAGTTGTTTTCAGATTTTTCTCAGCCGGAGCCGGGTAACAGCCCCGGTGCTTTAATACTTGTGTATCCTTGTATGGGACGCTGGGTCCGGTTCCCAGCACGTGATGGTCCCCACGAATAGATTGGAGCTTTTTGTTCCCCCCCTCCCCCCCCCCCCAAAAAAAAAAACAAAAAAAAAAACAAAAGCTGGGGTTCTTTTTGTAAGGCCTGTGGCTTCCATTTTTCTGGGGGGTTTGAGATAGTCAGGACAGCGGTCTGGAATTGGCCATTTCTGTCCCTGCACTTATTCCAACACCTGCAGCCAAGCTGGGTAATGGCCACAGTTCTCTTGATTTCCAGGTTGTTTGTGGAGGGATTCCCGGCCTCCCTTTTGTGTGAGAATAAATGAGCAACCTTTTTTTGTTAAAAAAAATACCACTATACCACATAGTCGCTACCTGTCAGAAAGGGTCCTCTTTTTTTTTTCTTTTTCTTTTTCTTTTTTTCTTAATAAAGCCCAGGTTGTTGTAGAAGCCGGACTCCAGACACACGGGGTTACCGACACAGCTATTGGTAGTCCTGACAGTCCCTTATGTTCCGTAAGACCACTTTCCCTACCCATCCTTCTCGGCAATTCTCCTAGCGCACCCCTATCCTACTATCCTACCTCAGTGTTGAGTACTCAGGAGTATCACCATGCTATTTCAGAAGGCGACTTGGACCAGACAGTAGTTCTAGGCACCGGGGCTAGGCAGGGCCAAGCGCGAAGCCTTGAAAGCCCCACCCAGCCCCAGTTGAGGCACAGTCAAGCAAGCCACGTTACTTGGGTACATCAGGCGCCAGCCTCAAGCAATATGTCTACTCACCTACCAACCCCCATTCTGGCATGTTATTTTTTTCGTTTATCTGTATGTTATCTTTTTTTTTTTTTTTTTTTTTTTTTAAAATTTTATAATTTGTTTATCTTG